CCGCCCCCGGACGGCATCTCCTCCTCGGGTGGCCTCTCGCGGTGCCAGCCTCTGCACCCCGGGGCTCCGATGCCACCCGCCTTGGCCGGGGTGGTAAGGACAGAAAAAGCTCATGAGCTCACCAGGCAGGCCGGGTGTCTGCCTGGGCCCAATTATACCAGCTCCCAGGGCCATCGCGGGTGGCGGCTGGGGGCCCCCAGGGGCCGGGGGAGGCTGGCACACACAGAAGTGCACTGTCACAGTGAAGGCGCCCCCGGGCCCGGGGGACGGGGCAGGACGAGGCCTTCCGGAGAGAAGAGGCAGCTTCGGGGGACACCCCAGCGGGGCATCGAGGAGGACGCGGACCCAAGCCGCTGGGCTCCGGGATTTGGGGGCGGGGAGCGGCCACCCCCAGCCCCAGCTGCTTGCCTGCCTTCGCCAAAGTATCAGCTGGCGCAGGAGGACAGAGGGGAGGACAGGGACAGAAGGCGGCAAGGCTGGCGGGGGAGGGGGCACAAAGGAAGGGACCCGCGAGGGGAGGGGCGCCACCTAAGGCTGCTGAGGCCCGCGGCCAGCGATGAAGCCCCCGAGCTCCGGCGGCCGCCACGGCACCGCGGGGGACAGGGCACCCCGAACAGGGAAGGGTCCCGCCCCCCACACCCGAGGGGCAGCAGCGGTGGGGACATTAAAGGGCAGGACTCTAAGACGCCAAAGTGCGGGTGGAGGCGGCAAGGGCCCCAGAGCAGGTGGGCCCCTCGTCCTTGGGACCCTGGGGGACCCTGCGGCTTTGTCTAGGTGCCCCGAGTCCACAGGGCTCAGCCCGGACGCCGCCGTCTCCGACGCCCCTTAACAGCTGCGCTGCCCTCGCTGAGGTTTGTCTTGGGCGGGGGGGATGAGGTGCTTAGAATGGGGACCCCCCCTAGACTGAGTAGGGTGACGGGAATCCCAGGGGAGCCAGGGAGAGGGAGGACGAGAGGCACCCCCAGGAGGGGTGCGGAAGAGGGGGCTCGTCCGGGGAGCCACTGAATTTGAGAAAAGGCTGTCGAAAGCGGGGCGTTCTCCAATGCTGCAGATTCCGGGGGCTGCTGGAGGAGGGTCTGCGAGGGGGAACGGGTGCAAAGGGAGGTCTGGATGGGGGGCGTGTCTTTAAAAAGACTGCCTTAGGGTGGTAGTAGTGGGGTGCCCCGATTTGAGAATTTCGGAAAGGAAGAAGGCGGGTGGGGTTTCCTCACATTTGGGGGAGGTCGGCTGTGAGAAAGGGGAAGTGGTGGCGGGGGCACCCTAAATTTTGGAGGTTCCCGCAAAGAGCGGGGAACTTGGCCAAAGCCGCGCACCTAGAGTGCGGGCACAGCGAGCCGAAGGGGTGGTCCCCTCCCCGAGCGC